GACTTATTTATCCTTTATTTTGTATAATATTTTGATAAATATTAGTTATCGATTATAATAAATTATAAAATATTCAGAATCGTGTTGAAATTGAGCTGAATATTTAAATCATTTGACAAAATCCACTAAACAACTTTATGTAATAATAATTATTCATCACAAACTTATTTAGTTAAAAGAAAATACATTTTCGTTACATTATTATGTATGTATGTATTACATTATGTATGTATGTATGTATGATTTATTACACAAGTTAGTTATATTTAACTTGTGTAATAAATCATATTTATTTAAAAATAGCTTATTTTTAATTTCATGAAATATGATGGCAATACTTGGTATTTGACGAAAATATTGAAACAGAAACAGAACAGAAACTTTTTTATTCAATATAGATTATAAATAATACTTATTGAAAGTCACTCTTTTGTTTGATTACCACTGGTTCGGAAAAAACCTCTGTCCCGGGAAGAACCAGCAAGAAACCCAGCGGGACTTTTTTTTTTAAATAACAGCTTACAATCTTGATGTTACACAAATTAACAACACAACAAATTTGAAATAGCTTGGTAGCGATCACCTCATTTCCAGGGGTTATTATCATCCATAAATTCCTTAATATTATAATAACCCTTTTTATACAAACTTAGTTTAATAAAGTTTTTGAACTTTGAGCAGGTCAAACTTTGTATATTTTCTGGAATTTTGTTGTAAAAGCGTATACATCGCCCCAAGAATGAATTACTGACTCGATGGAGTCGAGTAACTGGTACTACTAGAATGTGTCTGTTCCTAGTATTTACAGAATGAATATCACTTATTTTCATAAAACTACTTTTATTTTTGTGTACATACATTACATTTTCATAAATGTATTGAGAGGCCAAAGTTAATATATTAATTTCCTTAAATTTTTGTCGCAGCGACTCTTTAGGCTTTAAATCATAAATTGCTCTTATGGCCCTCTTCTGCAAAACAAATATAATTTCAGTGTCAGCTGCGTGTCCCCATAGCAAAATACCATACGACATTATGCTATGGAAGTAGCTGAAGTAAACTAGTCTAGCTGTTTCAACACTGGTTAGACTTCTAATCTTTTTTACAGCATATGCTGCAGAACTAAGTCTGCTTGCTAGTTTTGATATATGGGAGCTCCATTGAAGCTTCGCGTCTAGTGTGATTCCAAGAAAAATGGTGGTATCTACAAGACTCAGTTTCTCCCCATTTAAAATTACATTAGTATTTAATTGTTTGACATTTGGAGTCACGAATTTCATACATTTTGTTTTAGTGCCATTTAAATGCAAATTATTAACATCGAACCAATTTACTAATTTAGATATAGCATTATTTACTTCGTCATATTTTAGTAACTGTCGACTTAATTTGAAAATTAAAGAAGTGTCCTCTGCAAATAATACTATATCATGGTTATCCCCTACTATGTTATTCAGAAAATACTCGCAGATGAAAAGTCACGTTGCCTTTTTGTAGATTTGACATTTTTGATAGTTTTTTGCATGAAAATAGACTGCAATTCGGCATTTTTGTCGGAGCTCGATGGATGGACATTTTTTCTTTAAGTTATTACACGTTTACTAACTTTTTTAAAGTAACAGTATATACATTCCATTGCTGGGTACAAGGTCGCTCAGCGAGCTATAGAGAGGGCTATGCTCGGAGTCTCTCTGCGTGATAAACTTAGAAATGAGGATATCCGCAGAAGAACCATAGTGACCAACATAGTCCAACGATTTGTAAGCTGAAGTGGCAATGGGCCGGCCATATAGCTCGAAGAACCGTCAAGCGAAGGTGGAGAAAGGTTCTCGACTGGCGGCCTCGTACCGGCTGATGAAGCGTAGGGCGTTCTCCCACTAGATAGTAAAACATGCAGAAAGTCGATGGATGCAGGTGGCTCAGGACCGTGTATTGTGGCATTCCTTGATGGAGGTCTATGTTTAGCAGTGGACTTGTGAAGGGCTGTAATGATGAGGATGATGATGACCGAAAATTACTTCATCATCAACATAACTTTATGATAGCTGATGTTATAAGGAGTAACTTAACCTTGAGTGCGGACGACACGCCAGGCGTGCCATCGATTATTTTTGTGTGTCGTTATAACTCGCTCAAATTGCGTTTTTGGAAAATTTATCCAGAACAAAATAGTAATTATTTTGCAAGTAGCTTATGCGTACAGTTTCGTTTCTGGATATTTTGAAATTTTGAAACGTAGGGGTTGACCACCTTTTTTTAACTTGTACATGGTACTCTTTTTACTTTGCACACTGCATAGCGCCGGTGTTTTTTTCTTTTGAAAACACTTGTTTTGCTATTATTACTAATTAGACGTTTTCAAATCGACTTTACTTTTACATTTGTATAACATTAAATAATATTTAACAGTGGTAATATTAATGAATCATAAACCTTATTTTTTCCAAGTTAAGGTTCTTGATTGTTTGATATTTACAAATATTATTATTAGGTGAAAATTTAATTTAACAAAAACCAAGGTTTTCCAGTGTGATTTAGCTGTACCTACTTAATGATTTTTTATAAAACAAAAAATTAGTTCAAAATGTTTGTAGTCTCTGCGTAACAAAAGTCACTTACTCTCAATTTCAACGAAAACAGGTAGAAAAACACGTAGTTACCCACTAAAAACAAGTATCTTTCCGTTTGTAACTGATGTTTGATGTTAACTAAACATAATTAGGTCTAAACAAGTGAAAAAAGCATAAAAAAGATAATTATTTTTACACATGGCTGATGGCACAATAGGCGTGTCATCCAATTCTGTGGCTTAGGGTTCCGCGCAAAAAATAAAAATATGAAATCCAACCGTAATAAATTATTACCAGGGGCGAAGTCGCGGGAACAGCTAATTTGCTATAAAATTAAACTACAGTAAAACTCGCTTAAGACGATTTTGTAGGGACCCAGCCAAAATCGCGACTTAAGCGGGAAAGCGTATTATGCGGGATATGGAAAATAAAACATAACATCATTAACAAATTTTTTGTAGGTATTTAATTATAGGTATATTTATAAATTTGTTAGAAAGCTATAATATTATACATACTATGTATATGTATTTAAACATACATCATAGTTAATTATTATTTATAATGACATCACTTTCCCCGAAAGCGAAAAGCAAGTTGCAACAATAGATACATAGCGCCTTAAACCGTTTATTGCTCATAAAGCCTCTGCGTTTGACAGTCGGAATTGACTCTCCTTCATCTTCATCGTCATCACGTAGGACCTCTTTTTGGGTGTTATTCATATCTTCAAAAAAGATCTTCGTATGTACCTACGGGTTTTGTACGGTGCAACATTGTCAACAATGGAAGAATATCCAGGAATACCCTGCAGTATCGCTGGTTCTTCTTCCAACATGACGTTAGCTTTGTTACTTCAGAAACCTGTTTTCTTGAAACAATTTTGTATGGTTTCAGGCTTAATTGATTGCCATGCCATGCACAGTCAAGGGTCGTTTGCTGTCAGGGTCTTCTATTTCTTTACTATAGCGATGTATCAATCGTATTCTGTAGCTTTGTTTAAAGACTTTTATAATGCCCTGATCCATCGGTTGCAACTTGTTTGTCGCATTCGGAGGTAAGAAAACAAGCTTGATGTTCTTTAGCCGGGGCAGTTATCAATGAAGAGAATTATGCGTGCTACTCGGCTTGGCTCGGGTGTTGGACAGATGGCGTATTAGACGGGATTACGATCGTATTAAGCGAGTTAAAAATATATAAAAACATGCCTCACATTGCAGGGACTGATATAAAATGGCGTATTATGCGAGAAATCGTATTAAACGTGATCGTATTAAGCGAGTTTTACTGTATTATGTTATATTTTATGCCGCACTTGTGGTTGAAAATCATCCAATTAAATAAATCATTCGCTGTGAAATGTATTCGGATTTCATTTGAAGGTTTCACTTCTACCGCGTGTGAACTGCACACATATTTTTATTGGAACGAAGTTCCTTACCGCATGGTATGAATTTGGCGGATGGGGACTAGGCGAGAAAAAATGTAAGATTTTTCCGTGACGACTCCTTCTGACGTATTGTAGACGGCCTTGGCGACTTTAAAGAAGCGAGATGGAATAATATCCATCTCACTCGCACTTGTTCTTATCTTGCCATGAAAGAAATATTATTTTATTTTAAATGACGCTTTATTTTAATAGACGCTAGTAATTCATTTATTTCCATTTGTTATTAAATAATATAATACGTTCATCAATAATAATATACTATGGAAAGAAACTTAGTTCCAGCAGAGTGTTCCACGATACTCACGCATGTTTTTTATTTCTCAGACTTACCGGTTTACGCACGATGTTTTCCTTCATCGCCGAACACGTGGTAAATCAGCACGTAAAATTGCAATTAACAATTTCATTGGTGCCGGCAGGGATCGAATCCGGGTTGCTCGCGTACTTTCAAATTTACAAAGAGTGCTTAGGCCCTGAGCTACCACGGCTTTTGCACACTTTTTTAAATTTTTTTACTTTTAGGAAAATTCCTAATCAAATGAATACAAAAAATAACTCATATTTCAGAAAGAAACAGTTTCTCCACTTTTCGCACTTTTCTAACAAATTTACTTCCCCCGTAATGAAATCTATCGAAAATGTCACCTTATTCATTAGTGGCACGGGTACCGCTTCGGTGGCAGAAATAGTCGCGGATGCCCTGATAATTATTCTTTAATTCTTATATGAAAAAAACTGATAGCATTTTCCGTAAAAAAATAACAATTTGTGTTCTTCGAAGTAGCAGAATTGGTAATTTAAGTCTGGTCACACTGGTCCTTTATGTCAAATCGGAGTAAAAAAAAAAATAGTTTGTTTTACAAATCAAAACAAAGTACAATAGATTTAAATAACATTTATGTAATTATGAATTAGCATTTTCTTTTCGTTGATAATAATAGTATAATCTAAATGTTGCTTGTTCACTTATTTTTTTTAAAATGAAAATAACGCAGCAAATTAAGCATCTATCACGATTTTCAGCGCCAAGGCGCGTTGTAGTGTCTGGCTTAGGAGTAGTTTCCCCTATTGGAACTGGCACTAAACTAGTTTGGGACAATTTATTAAAAGGATGTTGCGGTATTGTTTCTCTCAGAGAAACAGAGTATTTAAATTTGCCTTGCAGAATAGCTGGATTAATTCCAGTAAAAAACGACAGCAACCTCTTGAAAACGTTATCAAAATCTAATTTGAAATCTATGGCTCCAGCCACATGTTTAGCGCTAGTTGCTACTGCTGAAGCATTGTTAGATGCCAAATGGGCTCCAGAGACAGATACTGATAAAGAAATTACTGGAGTAGCATTAGGAATGGGAATGATAGATCTAAAGGATGTTTGTGACACAAATGATGCATTAAAAATAGGGTACAATAAGGTCAGTCCTTTTTTTGTGCCAAGAATCTTGCCAAATATGGCTGCTGGTCAAATAAGTATTAAATATGGTTTTAGGGGGCCAAACCATGCCGTATCAACTGCTTGTGCCACAGGAGCACATTCAATAGGTGATGCTTATAGGTTTATTAAACATGGTGATGCAGATGTTATGGTATGTGGTGGAGCAGAATCTTGTATAAGTCCTCTAGCTATTGCTGGATTTTGTAGGCTAAGAGCATTGAGCACATCATTTAATGATGAACCTGAAAAAGCTTCCAGACCTTTTGATAAAAGGCGTGATGGCTTTGTAATGGGAGAAGGTGCAGCTGTGCTAGTCTTAGAAGAATATGAACATGCATTAAAAAGAAATGCAAAAATTTATGCTGAAATATTAGGTTATGGATTGTCAGGTGATGCAGCACATATAACAGCTCCTAGGGAAGATGGTAGTGGTGCTCTATTATCAATGAGAAGAGCTCTCCAAGATGCCAATATTGAAAAAAATGAAGTAACTTATGTTAATGCACATGCAACATCTACACTTATTGGAGATAGTGTTGAATCTAAGGCTATAAAAAAACTTTTTGATGAGCATAGCTCTAAAATATTGGTTTCTTCTACTAAAGGTGCACATGGACATTTACTTGGAGCTGCTGGAAATTTAGAGGCTGTATTCACTATATTAGCATGTTACAAAGGAGTTATACCAGCTACATTGAATTTGGAAGATCCTCTTGATGATCTACATTATGTTGCAAAGGTGCCTGAAAAATGGGAAGCTGCAAGAAGAGTGGCACTTAAAAATTCATTTGGATTTGGTGGAACAAATGCAACTCTTTGCATTGCACAAATCTAAATCAGAAATATGATTAAAGAAATAAAATAACAGGTCACAAACACATAAAGAAATGGTATGTGGACAGTGACAGTGGATGGTGAAGGTTTCTTTGTGCTGAAAATAGATTTACATAAGTCAAAAGATGGCATTTTCATGCCGACAAATAACTTAAAAGTATTGTGCATTTTACTTCTTGAAAAAGGGAAAATGTGGTGTTAAGCGCCAAAAAGTGGACCATAAAAACTACAAGGATGTCTCATAAAAATCACAAAAATGGAGGGGTTAGAGAAGGGATATTTGAAACTCAATGAAACAAAAAATGACACTAAAAAGAGAAACATGTATGTTTGTCATAGATAGATACACATGGTTATAGATACACATGTGTGTTTGTGGACAAACATCTATAGGATTTAGCCTGCAAGAAAATGAGATAGAATACAGTATTTATCATAAATTTATTTATTATTTTAATAATATAAACCCTACAAGTAACCTACTTATGATACTCTGCATTAGTCTCATTCAAAGTTTAGCTCTCAGGAAGGTTTCACTTCTACCGCGTTTGAACTACACACATGTTTTTTTTTTACCTTGCACTGCTTGGTAACTCAATACCAAGTTTGAGCCAGATTGGTTCATTAACCTTTGAGATATCACAGGATAAACAATTCAATCGGAAGTGAACACTAAATATGGAGAAAATTGAGTCTCGTGCCGTGATTAAGTTCTTCACTAAGTAAGAAAAAAGCCACACAACTTTATAGAAAAGATGTCATTTCTTTTCGGGGTCTCTTGCCCTGGAAAAATAGTGATTTATAATAGCCTTTTCGTGCAAGGCAGTGACTCAATTTAAGACGATCAGCACTTCGGCCAACCGATTGAGGCAACTTCCTCAGACATTGTCGAAGAAGTTGAAAAACTTGTTCTTGAAAATGCTCGTCTGAAGAAAAAACAGATGGCAGAAACTGATGGACCATCTTGGTATGTCAGGTTAATGCAAGAAGGGCACCAAGAATGCTCACACTGTGGTAGAACAGGTACGAAATTATGAACTGAATTGTGACTGGGGTTGAAACTTGGGTTCATTACTATGAACCTGACTCAAAGCAGGAGTCCATGCAATAGGATAAAACGCAGCACCACCTAAGAAGTTCAGGTTTTATGCTTCAGTTTATTGAGATTCAGAGGGGATTTTATTGATTGATTATTAAGATAAAGATGTCAATATCGAGAGACAGTATCACCCTACGCTACTAAAAAATTATAAGATGCAATTAAAAAAAGAAGAAAGGGAAAGTGCTCTCAAGGTGTGTTCCTTTTGCATTACAATTCACAAGAGTTATGTTGCGAAGGCTTCCTTACACAAGTATGGCTTCAAAACTTTTAACCACCCTTCCTATAGTCTGGATATGGCCCCTTTGGTTATTTGTTCCCAAGTATGAAAAAAGAGCTTCGGTGAAAGAAATTGACAGATGATGAAGAAGTAAAGTCGACAATTTCTGCGTATTTTGAGGGCCTTGACAAAACTTTTTTTTTAAGGTGTAATAGTATAAGTTAATTGTATGGTCTGAGAAGTGTATTAGGGTTAATGAAGAATATATTGTTAAGGAAAAATAATTTCATGTTTAATTTCACCCCCTTTAGCTTTCATTCCATGAACTTTTTGACGTCCTCTAGTATGTCTGATGCACTATCACCTAGTCGCAGTTGGCATCATTATCCGATATACACATACTCTGTTCTTGAAAATCATACTTAGAATTCATTAAGTACCTAGTCATTGAAATGCCTTCCTACTCATTTTACAAATGTACCAGTCATTTAGGCAAAATAAGAGTAACCAACTTTTTTTTGCCTTCATCACCATCATCATAATCTTCTTCATTGCAGCCCATTATAAATCCACTACTAAACAGAAGAATGCCACAAAGCTATGCCATTATTTTACCCTAATAATTATATATATTTGCATCTTTATGAACTTTAGTTTTAAAACCATTTATGAAATAAGCGTCCAGCCATGTTATCATAGATAATACACTATATATTTCTATATAGTTTGTGACTACCTATATACCAGAGTAATAGTGTTCTGTGCTATATACCAGGAACATGTTGTTGTTGAAGCGGGATAGAGTACTTAGAGTCTTCGGTCCAGAGCTCGGAAACCGGTTCAAATTCTTAACTGGTTTCGGTCATTGAACCCAAAACCGTTTTTTGCGTAATACCGGTTTTCACATATTTAGGTTTAGGTAGTAAGAATTAACCGGTTAAAACCAAGTTTTGTAATGTCCAACCTCTCCCTTAACCCGCTTGCACCCAACTTTGTACGGCTACCCTCTGTTTAATTCACGAGATTTTTTACCCCGGTCACTCACATTCGCACGAATATGCAAACCCACAAGTGTGGGACGACATTTGGAAATGATTATGCAAAGTTTTAGCTGCATTCGCGGTTTTCCAAGCTGTGTCGGTTTTTAACGGACATCAAAGCGCACGAACCTCGATCCTTCGCGTACTCTCCCACACATTCGTGCGACCAGTTGCGCACACGATTGCGAAGGTAACGGACGTTTCGCCACTTTCATAGTTCGTGACGTCTACTGTGTAGTGTACTTCAAATAACTATATCATGAATTGGAAAAACACCAAGGTGATGGAGTTCATTGAACTCCTGCAGAATGAATCGACCATATGGGATACTCAAATAAATCCCATAAAAACAGAATGGCCGTTAATGACGCCTGGGAAAAAATTAAAATTTCATTTTATGTATGTATAGTATATGAACATAGGTAAAACAGTCCAACCGCACTAATAAAATCATTTTCATTGTTCATGATTCACAAAATCGCAAGCAAGACTGAGACATTCGTAAACACGTATGGAGGGAGTGAAAACGGGTTAGCAAATTGAGTATGCGAACCATTTGCATATCCGCTAAGTCATGTGAAGGGGCGTCAGACATGTCAAAATGCAGAGGCGTTGTCACCCGTGAGGACTAAGATGGAATGCCTCATTTCCAGTAAAAAGGGCCTCCGGCCTAAACCTCTACTTCACGCTGGTATTTTAGCCCGCATCACAAGGCAGTCGCGTTGATGCAATGAATATATCTTATGTTGGTCACTCACATGCGCGCAAACATTCGTACATTGTACGAATGTTTGCATGCATGTGAAGGGCCGTCAGACATTCATTCGCAATCTTAGCGGATATGCAAATGGTTCGCATACTCAATTTGCTAACCCGTTTTCACTCCCTCTTACACTTGTTTACGAATGTCTCAGTCTTGCTTGCGATTTTGTGAATCATGGACAATGAAGATGATTTTATTAGTGCGGTGGGACTGTTTTACCTATGTTCATATACTATACATACATAAAATGAAATTTTAATTCTTTCCCAGGCGTCATTAACGGCCATTCTGTTTTTATGGGATTTATTTTAGTATCCCATATGGTCGATTCATTCTGCAGGAGTTCAATGAACTCCATCACCTTGGTGTTTTTCCAATTCATGATATAGTTATTTGAAGTACGCTACACAGTAGACGTCACGAACTATGAAAGTGGCGAAACGTCCGTTACCTTCGCAATCGTGTGCGCAACTGGTCGCACGAATGTGTGATTAAATTTGGCTATACTTTGCTATCGACTGTAACCAAATACATGCACTAAAAATCCTGTCTTTTATTTAAAGTGATTATTAACAACTCCCAAATAAGTAGATAATCAGTATAAATCACACTGATATCTATGATCTTGTATTGAATTATAAAAAGAGAATTATTAAAAGAGCAGCCAAGATTTCTCCCGCCTCAAGATCAACATAATATAGTAAGCACTTTCGAATTTTTTAGAAACTTTCAAACTTTACGAATATGGAACTATTCAAATAACAGTGGTAGAGCCACGCGGCAGCTTTTGCTGTCGCACGGATGGGCCGGCTCGAACCGGGGTGGTACCACGACCTCACAGAATACCAGCGTGAAGTAGAGGTTTAGGCCGGAGGCCCTTTTTACTGGAAATGAGGCAGTCCATCTTAGTCCTCACGGGTGACAACGCCTCTGCATTTTGATACGCAAACGAGGATAGATGTAGATGTCTATGGGCCGCAGCAACCACTTACCATCAGGTGGAATGTGTGCTCGTTTGTCACCCTTATCCTATAAAAAAAAATTAAGTGTCTGTTAGTAACGTCAAAATAACAGATTTTTCCTAAATACATATTATGAAAGTATATAATATAAAAATTTTGTCTCTCTGTATGTCTGTTTGTTCCGGCTAATCTTCAAAATGGCTGGACCGATTTTGACGTGCCTTTCACTGGTCCGATTGCCGACTGCCTTCGTTGGTCTAGTGGTTACTAGCGCGTCTGTGGATCATGATTTGGTCCTGGATTTGAATTCCGGGTCGTGCCAGGTACCGTTATTGGATTAGTTTGGGTATAATGAGTGTTCTAGAAACCACATTGATAGTCGTATTACAGCCCTCAATCAAGCACTTACATTTTTGGGATTCCTCGTCATACATTTTCTAATATAGAAGGGGGCAAACGAGCATGCGGGTCACCCGATGGTAAGTGACTACTGCCGCCCATGAACAACCGCAACACCAGGGGAATTGCAGGTGCGTTGCCGGCCTTTTAGAAAGGAGTAAGCTCTTTTCTTGAAGGTCTCTAAGTCGTATCGGTCCGGAAGAATCGCCGGTGGTAAACAATTCCACAGAGAAGTTGTACGATGAAGAAAACTCCGAGTAAAACGCACAGTGGTGGCCCGTCAAGCATCCAGATGGTGAGGATGGTATCGTGAATTTTTACTCGATGTAGGCTCATGCAATATGGCAGGTGAGATTAAACCGTATCTCAAAGCACCCCTCGTGGTAGATGTGATAGCAAATGCAAAGGGATGCTATATCCCCACGCAGTGCCCATACAATACAATACCCTTTATTGTACACCAAGAAAAGATAAAAACATCAAAAATAAATAATAAACAACTATTGAGGGAAATACAA